AATACCAACTTCCTGTTTTGCTCCAAACTAAGCCAATGGATCCGGTACTATTGCATGCAAAACCAGCCCTCTTGCAGAAGAATAAGTAGAGTCCCCAATGAAATGGGAGTCTGAAATGACCATTTTGAAGAAGAATAAGTCAAACCGGTGATGTATGTGAATGCTGCGTGCATTGAAATCTCTTGTGAACAAGATGATGTTCAAGTTCAGACACATCCCCAGTTGCCTTTTGAGTTGACCATGGGATGTAGCAGCTAGACTGGAGGAGGATGAGCGGTGACAACAGACTCACAGGGAGAGGTGAGGAGGGTCCCTAACGCCTGAGTCCCAGTCCGATGTATGTCATGAAGTGGGAAGATAGCCTTGATCCATCATTGGATAACTTTGGCCACCAATTTCTCTATCTCAAATGAGACTCCATTTCTTTAAAGACCCCTTTAGTTTTAAATATCTGTAAATCTCCTGAAGCAACTGTGCTTTGATTGACATGAAATTTAAGAGCTGCCTTTAAATGGAATGACTGAGCAATTAGCAGAATTATGTTGGGTTCAGCACAGTGTGTGAATACATGCCAAAATGTACAATGAGGATTTTTTTTTTAATGTTTCCTCCAGATTTCCTCATCCTAAATAGACATACAACAATGTCCATGTTCAGACAGTATAAGCGTTTCTCCTAAACCCATGCATAAATACCTTTCAAGTCAATACACACCTTTGAAGTATGTGTGACTTAGAGAGATGAGTGGGGTGGGCAGAGAAGGGGCATTGTGAGTGTGATGGAAATTTCTAGGGAAACAATGTGGTGTACAGGGTCACAGGCCTGGGAATCAGGAAGTTAGAGTTCTAATTTCAGCTTTTCCACTGATTCACTTGGGACCTTGAGAATGTCTGTTCCTATTTCATCTTTTTGTGCCTCAGTTTCTTTCTCTACCAATGATAGTGAGAGTCCTTGGCTGGATGCCCAGGATTGTGAGAATATAACGTGCAGAACCATAAAAATACAATCAGTACCCAAACTGCAAAACATGCTAGTTACTGGGTGTCCTGACAAAGTGAAAAAGTTAACAAGAGTAATTCCTTTAATAATCAAAATGCAAATATTTTAAGAAACATACCCACTAGGTGAAATTTAAGCAAAGACTTGTTTTTGTTGTTAGGTGCCATCAAGTCGGTGCCAACTCATAGCAAACCTCTGCACAACAGAAAGAAACACTGCCCAGTCCCACACCTGCCTCACAATCATTGCGACGTTTGAGCTCATTGCTGCTACCACTGTGCCAATCCATCGCATTGGGGGTCTTCCTCTTCTCCAACTCTCCACTTTACCAAACATGACATCCTTCTCCAGGGACTGGTCCCTCCTGACAACATGTCCAAAGTATGAAAGGCAAGGTCTGACCATCCTGGCCTCCAAGGAGCCCTCTGGCTGTACTTCTTCCAACACAGATTTGTTTGTTCTTTTGGCAGCCCATGGTACTTTACTATTCTCCAACACCATAACTCAAATGCATCAAATCTTCTACAGTGTTCCTTATCCATTGTCCAAATTTCACATGCATATGAGGTTAGTTGAAGGAGCTCTGGTAGCGTAGTGGTTACGAATCGGGCTGCGAACCTTAAGGTCAGCAGTTTTAAACTACCAGCCGCTCCGCGGGAGAAAGATGAGGCTTTCTACTCCCGTAAAGATTTACACCCTTGGAAACCCTGTACAGGGTTGTTATGGGTCGGAACCGACTCGATGGCACTTCACAACAACAACATGAGGTTAGTTAGTCTCAGGGATATGTCAGCAGAAAGAGCTCAGACTTAGGAAAAAAAAGAGTTCCACCATTGAGTTCCACCATTGCCACATAGCGTATGTATTGCATTAGGCAAATCTGCTGCACAGGAACTTTTTAAAGTGTTGACAAGCAAAGATGTCAGCTTGAGGACTAAGGTGCACCTGACCCAAGCCATGGTATTTTCAATAACCTCATATGAATGCGAAAGCTGGACCGTGAATAAGGAAGATCGTAGAAGAATTGATGCCTTTGAATTATGGTGTTGCAGGAGACTACTAAAAGTGCCATGGGCTACAAAAGGACCAATAGATCTGTTTTGGAAGAGGTGCAGCCAGAGTGCTCCTTAGAAGCCAATATGGCCAAACTAACCTCCTTTAATGACAGACTCTATTTTCTAATAAAATGATTGACTCTCTCACATTATATAATCAAAATGTCTTTCAGGGCATCTTGGATCAACATTGCCTATCATTTGATTTTAGATTAAGGATACCTATTCTATGTATTAATTCTAACTTCTCCTAATCCTTTTATAAACAAGACTATCTTTAAAAAAAAATAAAATTCTTTGAGCATGTTGAAGTTGAATGGAAGAAAAATCTCAGGCGCTTGTTTTCTGTAGCTTTGAGGAAAAGTGCGATGCCCGTACACAATCCAATAATAAGCAAATAAATTACAAAATGAATCTGACTGATAATGATTCATCACATGTTTTGCACATTTTAAAACACACAAGTGTTTACCTCTGAGCTTAGCTCTAAACTGGAAAGGGGATAACAATAAATCTATCTCATTTTGTTAACATAATTGCAGCCATCCAATTTTACGTGTTACATTATTAGGGCTTTGGACAATAGATGACAAAAACAGAATGTTCTAGAACATGAACTTTAAAAATTGGTTAGCATCATGTACTTTCCAAAAGAAGTTTGATTGCGTTGAATCAAAGGTGTCTGCTTGGCACTGAGCTGTTCCCAGGAGACATCCAAGTCCTCATTCCCTGATCCTGAATTTACGAGTATCATCAACTTGTTTGAATTTGAAACTCTATTGGACCCCTTCATATAGCCAATATCGCCAAGCATTTAAGCAAAGTCTGCCCAACCTTTTTGTTGTTTTTTTTTATCCTTGGCTTCAGATTGGACTATATAAATCCTGAAAGAGGACTAAAAACTGTGAATTAATTTTCTAGATGAGCATTATTCCATAAAACAGAGTGGGAAAGGGATAAGTTTGAATTCTAGCCCTGCCATTGTGTTTGTCTGAATTTAGTGTGTTACCTTAACCTCTTTTAATCTCAGTTTCTTCATTTAACAAATGACCGTGACTTTCCTTGCCTGCTTGGTTAGAAACCCCAGATCACAGGGAGATGGTGCATAAAGAAGTACTTGTGTGGCTGCAAACTGATTTCCTAGTGGCCACCCCCGGGGACTACTACTGGAGCCATTTGATGTGGACCACTAATATTTCCCATTATCTCTCCTAATCCAAAACTTTACTCTGAGTTCAGTCCAAAAGTGAAACTCTCCCTTCTTAAGGCTTATTTTAAGTGCCCTTCCTGTCTAATTTTATTCTTGTTGTTAATGTCACCTCTGTTCTCCCAAGCTGGAACAACATGGCTCAAAGCTCATGTGATATATCTTCCCAAACCAAATCCCCTAGAAATATCCTGCAATCCTTTTATTTATCTTTTTTCCATAGCCACTCATTCAATTTTGGCCCTTATAACTTGAGTTACAACAAAATCTCCATGTCCTGAGCTTTTCCCTTTTCTCCAGCCTGTGCACTGTAAAGTAATCTTAATAAATTACTACATGGATTATGGCTGCATTATCCTGCTCTAGCATCTGAAGTAAGGAGCCCAAGTGATGTATGGGTTTGCCTGTTGGTCTGCTTACTATAGGGTCATCAGTTTGAATCTACCAGCTCTGCAGGAGAAAGCTGAGACTTCTGTAAAGGTTTACAGCCTTGGAAACCCTATACTAGGTCACTATGAATCAGCTCTTCATAAACCCTATTTTCTGTAGCTTTGAGGAAGAGTTCAATGCCAGTACACAATCCAATAATAAGCAAATAAATTACAAGAGCACACAACAACAGCATCTTCAGTAGCCCCCCACTATGTATAGAATAAGAATCCTGGTGGCACATGGGTTAAGTAACCAAAAGGTCGACAGTTTTAATCCACCAACCGCCTCTCTGTGCAAGAAAACACTTAGCGAATTGCTCCTATGAAGATTGCAGCCTAGGAAACACTATGGGGACAATTCTGCATTGTCATATCGAGTCACTACGAACTGGAATCAACTCATCAGCACACACCTATCACATACGTAGAATAAAATCCAGTCTGGTCCCAAGCTGTTATTCCAACTGTGGTCACACCGATTTGCTTTGCTTGTGATACAGTACTCACTTTTCCTTGTTCTTAGGACTTTGTTTATACCATTGCCAAGGTTTCTTCTTCCTTGCTTTTCAAATCATACCCAGTTTTCAAGCCCCGCTTAGGTCCTACCATCTGCTTGAAGCCTTCCTGATGCGTCATACCTCATAATGATCTAATTTCCTAAATGGATGTTTGAGGCATCAATAATCAATTATGATCTGGTGTGTCTCCTGGAGCAGTTACCCTGCACCATGTTGTTTATGTTTTACCAAGTGCCTTGTCCCTTCTATCTTGTTGCCAAGTTTTATTTTAAGTCGGGGGATTTTATCAAATCTATTGGTTTTCCCCTAGCACAGTGAGTCAAACCTTCCACATGTTAGAGAAACCTGAAGAACAAACATGTTAAATATTCTTCAGGACTCTGCCTCTAAAATGTGTTGAAGATATTGTTGGGTGCTACTGATCTGTTTCAACTTAATATTGACCCTGTATGACAGAATAGAATTTCCCCATAGGGTTTTCTAGGCTGTAATCTTTATGGGAGCAGATTAGAAGGTCTTCGTTCTGTGGAGCTGCTTGGTGGGTGCAAACTGCTAACCTTTTGGTTAGCAGTCTCCAAGTGCTTAACAGTTGCATCATTGGGACTAACCTTAAATGTATATACTTCCAACAAGTTCCCATTGATATCGATGCTGCTGGGTGAGTCTCCTCTCTGTCTTCAAACATCTCTCATAGAAGTCACATGTGAAGGGATAATATATATATATATAAATACTGAGTACTTTTTGCTGTTTTGTCCTTGTCTTCTCATGTTCTGTCACTTCTTTTTAGATTGATTTTGAAGATGTGATCGCAGAACCAGAAGGGACTCACAGTTTCGACGGCATCTGGAAGGCCAGCTTCACCACCTTCACTGTGACAAAATACTGGTTTTACCGTTTGCTGTCTGCTCTCTTCGGCATCCCAATGGCACTCATCTGGGGCATTTACTTTGCCATTCTCTCTTTCCTACACATCTGGGCAGTGGTACCTTGCATTAAGAGTTTCCTGATTGAGATCCAGTGCATCAGCCGTGTCTACTCCATCTACATCCACACCTTCTGTGATCCGCTCTTTGAGGCTGCTGGCAAAATATTCAGCAATATCCGCATCAGCATGCAGAAAGAAATATAAGTGACATTTCAAGGAGAGAAGTGTACCTACTCTTTTTTGTTTTTTTGTTTTTCTTTTAATTTTCTTGGTGCCGGTTTCAAGTTGCTAGTGCCGCAACAATGTATGAATGAACATCTTGGTTCAGAACAAAGAAATCACCTCCTCCATTTTCATAACTCTTATTTGTCTCTTCTGAGATATTACATCTGTATTTTTGACTATCTAAAGTTTTTAAACCCATTTACCTTTTTTTCTTGCCATTGCATTTGCATATGGATTATTGTTTTGGCTGATGACATATTGTTGAATGGTATGTTGAGAGAAACACAAAGAACTGAGGAGAAAAATTAAAAAAAAAAAACACAACACCTCAACTGCCTACTCTAAAATGCTGATCATTTTGTAATAAGAGAAGACTCAAGCTATAGCCATTGATTACACAGATATGTGGGCAGATTTTAAGCAAACTCTTCATTCAGCATCTGAAGAGTTAATGGATTGCTGCCACTCACTTTAATGATCCAGTGGGATCTAGTAATCCTTTTCAAGTTAGCAAGCATAATCTTAACTGCATTCACATGATCCAACTAGTGCCTTGCCCCTCTTGAAAGTTTAACCTGTGATAGTTTCTGTGCCTGAATATTTGTTATACGGATAAAAAAGACCCAAGTGCCTTCTCCTTTCTCACGTTTTCCTTTTCAAATGGGCTTTAACTCATCAACATCATTCTTAGATCAGCAGTCTTCCTGAAGACCAAAGTTAGAAATTCCATTTGCTAGTTCTCCAAGCTTGTTTCTGACTCTGAAATAAAGAGTCTAGTGAAGCACATTTATGTACCTGGTCATGCAGCATCTTGATCCATATCAAATATGGTCAACAGTACTACCATGAAATGAATGAAGGTGGACGGATGGGGCTGAGCTCTCTCTGGGCTGGCTGGGATAGAAGCCAACACTTCTGCCTCTCGTCAGCTGAATGAGATTAGCATGTCTAGTCAGTTTATTCAGCTTATTTTCAAGAATAATCATGCTTTCCAGAATCCAAACTAATCCACCACCAGGGTGGTTTCAGTGGCTCAACATTGTGTCCCTTTTTCAGCTGATCAGCGGGCTGCCAGGAAAATGCTGTCAAAATGGAGGCCATTGTGTGAGACTGCCAGTTGTTGCAAACAGAATGCCTTCAAAGCAAAGCACTTGCAACCTGTCTGTTATTTTGTGACAAATGGCCCTTTCCCCTGCCAGGAGTTCTGGACCTTGTTGAAACATCACTTTACTCAGAAGATGGGGGAGGAGGCAGTAATAAAAGATTGGGGTAATTTTGCTGGAATAAGTTCAGATTCTTCTGAACTCAAACTGAGGAATTTTACCTGTAAACCTGAGTCATACAGAAAGCTTCCTGGTATACCCAAAAGCTTTTGAGTCCGCCTGTTTGTGTTGTGATTCTGCCCTTGGAGGTTTTTTTAGACCCCCAGTTATGCTTTTATTTTTATTTTCATATACATAGTTGAACTCTGCTTAATTTTTTTGACTTCTTTCATTTTTCCTGGCACTATAATTTAGATCATCAACTTTTACCTACTTTTTAATTTTTTGCATTTAAGACAGACACTGGCATGGACATAGTTTTACTTTTAAGCTGTGTACATAACTAAAAAATGTACTATATTACAAACTTTTTAAAATGTAAAGATATTTTTATCTTTAGAAGAGGAAAATCATTTCAGAAACTGATTCAATCTGTAAACTGTGTATCTAAGACATGTCTGTTCCATATAGCTGCTTAGTCCCTCATTCAAACCAACTGCTGATCCAAAAGACTGCTGAAATTTTATATACTTACTGATATATTTTACACTTTTTTATCCTGCATGTGCTGTACAGATTACAAGTCTGCACAATAAAAACGTTTAACAATTCCACAGTCAACTTTTAAAATTTCTTCTTGAAACAGGATTGTGTGTGTGTGTGTGTTTTAAGCATGTCCACATCGTGTGTGTGCGTGTGTTTGCAATATATTTATAGGGAAGGGAAGTTCTTTCATTTAATTAGTATAAACTAAATCATTTAGGAGGGATCATTTTGCTAATGTCAGTAACACATTGTTGTTGTTGAGCGCCGTCAAGTCAATTCCAACCCATAGCGACCCTATATAGGGTTTCCAAGGAGTGACTGGTGAGCTTGAACTGCTGACCTTGCAGTCTGATGCATTAACGGCTTTGCAGTCTGGTGCATTAACCCACAGCACCACACCAGGACTCCTAGTAATACATTACTACAGATGAAAGTCATAAATAATAACAAGGATTTGTATAGCAATTTACCCCAGGTTTTGTTACATGCTGTCTAATTTGACCTTCCAGTAGCCTTGTGTAATAGATATTATTATTCTCATTTGGTAGATGACACAATTTACAGTCAAGGGGAAATGCATAGAACTTTGCCATGCCTTAACTGGGATTTTAAAGCGTGGTCTATTTATTAAGGAGCCCTGATAGGGTAATGGGTTGGTTACATGTTGGTCAACTGAAAAGTCAGTAATTTGAACCCACCTGTGAATCTGCTGGATCAGGATGAGAACTTCTGTTGCTGTAAAGATTTACAGCCTTGGAAACCCTATGCAGGGTCAGTGTGAGTCAGAACTGACTGCTCAGCACACTATCACCACCATTTAATATTGACTTTGGCCAAGTTTTCATCCACTACTTCCAAAGCAAATTCTGCCATGGGGATCTTCTTCAAATTTAGTTCACCCTAAAGTTTCTATCATACAGTTTGTAGAATCCCTCTCGTTGCTGGGTTCTCATGTAATCTCTGAGGCTGCTCAGTTAGTAACTTGGTCTGGGATTTGTGTTGATCCAACAAATCCATGATTAGTGCATGACATGACTCATATCTCTGATGAGGACAGCACCAGAGAGCCGGCATGAAGTTCAAGTACAACCAGTAAAGTAACTTTAAACAGGATGGGCTTTCCTTTGGTTTCATTATCTGAGTTTCTAAATGCTTGCATTGTAACAAAACCAGGCTCCACCGCACACACAAAGCCGCTCCATTTCTGGACGGACGCACAAGTCAAACAACTTTGGTACTCCATCCATGTTGGGAATAAATAGTTTATGCTTCACACGTTTAACCAAATGTTCGTTACATCGCAATATGCACCAGCCCAGTGGATTGGGCCTCTGTTGAACTGCTGACTCATACCTTCCTTTGTGTGGAAACTGGTATTTAAATGTTGATTTCTAAATTACAACCTGTATTTGTGGAATAGGAAATAGGGAGAGACAGAGATGTAATGTAACTTAATATAACAAATGGCAAAACCATAAAATAAAAGCTTATGACTGTGAATGTATGAAAATATTATACGTCCAAATATATGAAAAAAAAAAAAAAAGGATTCCTGGTATGGCAGTATATGATCAACACTGGACTGCGACCCACAAGGTCAGAAGTTCAAACTCACCAGCTTCTCCTCAGAACTCCTATACACAGCCACTATGAGTCGCAACCAACTTTGATGGCACTTAGCAACAACAACAACAAAATTATTAAAAACACAGGTGGTAAAATAAAGACAGCATTATATGTAACACAGTATCATGGGTCCTGGTGTGTTGTAGGATAAGCACTGGCCTGCTAACCTAAAGGTCAGTACTAGTCTCTCTATAGGAGAAAAATGTGGCTTTCTGCTCTAACAAGGAAAAGGGCAAAGATATGAAAAGATAATTCGCACACAAAAAAGTATGCAACAATCCTATGAAAAAGCTTATGCTCATTAGGAACGAAGTGATAAAAATCAAAGGATTGAAATTCCATTTCCACCTAGGAAATTTGCAGAGATCAAAAGAGACTGGTTCCAGAGGCCGAGAGCTAAACCGTAACACCACAACCACAGCCAACAAAGTGAATATGATACGCCAACAAAGTAGATAATGCCAACAAGGTAGAAAACGAACTGCAAGTCTATTGAGAACCAACAACCTCTGGCAAGTAAAATACACATTAAAACATTTTGCATCTAAAATATAAATATAAAACTTCATATAGACTTACCAAATATTCTGATTTAACGGTTTAAATGTAAGTTTCTACAACATTAAAAAAAAGTTTTGCAGCAGTATATAGTCAATCACATTGTAGTTAAGAAATTTTTATGACCATAAAATGACTATATAACAAGTTGATGGGCAGTATCCAGGAGAGAAATTTAAATAATGGAAAGAAACACTTCTTAAAAGTAGCTATAACATTTATATTCATTCCAACCGAAACAATAATCTCAGTTAAACTAGATTGGGTAGAAGAGCTGATAAAATCACTTTACAATTAAGATTCAACACACTTCTATTTTTTCCTTCTAGGCATCTCCATTCATTTACTTGACTCATATTCATTCTCAAATTTGCCAGTTCTTTAAGCAATCATGAGTTTCTCTAGATTTTATTAATCATTCAATTTATGGGAGCCATGAAGACAGCCTCCTTTTTACACAATGCACAATAAAGTTTGATATTAGCTCTCATCTTATCTTTCTCCTATTAAAAGGGAGGAAGATTCCCTTTTCCTACCAAAAGTCATTCCATATTGTCCATTTTTTCCATTAGAACCCTTAGCATATTAATCATTTGTTGTTCTTAAGTGCCGTTGAGTCAGTTCCGACCCATAGAGGCCCTGTTCAGGGTTTCCAAGGCTGTAAATCTTTATGGGAGCAGACAGCCTCATCTCTCTCCCACGGAGCGGCTGGTAGTTTCGAACTGCTGACCTTAAGGTTCACAGCCCGATTCGTAACCACTATGCTACCAAAGCTCCTAGCATATTAAACATAGTTATGTTAAATTCCCAATCTGTTCATTCTAAAATCTCTGCCATTTCTGAATGTAATTTTGATTCTTGCTTTTTTTTTTTTTTCTTGCTTATTAGTGTGTCCTGTAATTTTTAACTGAAAGTGACACATGATGTATCAGGCAATATAAACTGAAGTACATAGGCTTTCTTGTGAAGTTTTCTGTTTGTGGCTAGGAGTTCTGTTGTGTTAATGCTTGAATAGTTGTAGGTGTTTGTCTAGTATCTTTGTTTTGGCCTCCTCTGATGTCTTTGGGTTTCCCTAAGAAATGCTCTCTTAATTGAAATCTGTGTCTTACAGTTCTTTTCATTCCAATTTATTACTGCTATTATTTGGGAATTTTTTAATGAAGTAGTAGCAAGGTATTAGGAAAGAGAAGCATGTTATAATCTTATCATTAACTTTCCTTTTCTTTTTATTTTGTGGACTTTTGCTTTCTTCTACTAACTTAAACCTTAGTGACTATGTTGTTGCTATTAAGCGCCATCAAGTATGCT